TCCCCTAGTTTCTCTTCATTTGGATTCCTTAACAATGTTCCAGATTTGAGCTTTTCCCCTTCACACCTCTTCGTCCGATTTCGTTGTAAAGTCCTATCCTTTTGACCTCTTTGAAGACATTATTCCCTGATTTTTATCGAGAGTTTTCTTAGGTGACTTCGGTCATTTGAGATGTAATTAACTATAGGGGCTTGCCCTTATAGGGAGCTTTTCCGAACCCAGCTTAAAATAAACCCTATTTAATTATTTGTATTAAATAGGGGAACTTGTCGGCAAATAAAATGGTTTCGCAGACCCAAACGGACGTCATATCTTTCTTAGTTTATTTGATCGAGCTTCATCCTCAGGTCTTGTGTTTATTCTTCGGGGTAGATACAGGATTTGAGGTAGAGCGCTCTTTCATTTAAACTGTGAAAAATATGAGGTCAGTTTGATTTCGTATTTTTCTAAAATTATATATATATATATATGTAAATTAAAAAGTCCTTCCGAAGCGGGTGACGGGATTTCGATTCCGGCGACCGACAGCTTCTTACGGGCGACCCCCAAACGTAACTCCCCCCTTTTTAAACGCCGACAGGTATATGAGCTATACCTAACAGATTTTGTTTTTCAATTTACTGATTTTTCATGAAGCATTAAACATGTATTCTCTGAAATCCCAGCTAAGGAGATCACAATTCACCTTAGTAGTTTCTTTTACACGATTACATTATTGAAGATTAAAACATTTATTATAGAGTATTTGTTATAGAGTATCCTTTGTAAGTGTGGTCAAAGGTGGCTTAGCTGTATGTATGTGAATGGGATTATTGGATTTTGATAATTTTGATGTGGTTATAATCATTGTGATAAGCTGATCAATTTGAATTACGTGTGGTTCTATTTTTTCAAATGCTAAATTTGCACCAAAATTTGTGATGATAACATGGAAATTTTTAGATTCCATCACTCATGATTTTAGTAATACTGTTCTTTGATTTGTTGCTGGCTTGTCAAGGAAGTTGGAAGGGTCATATTTTGCAAAAAAGTCCCTCATCCTAATTCTTACAGCCCTAGATATGTAATTCACGAGCATTTTATGATGAATATGGTAAATATTTATGCAGGGTCGAGAAAGATTGGGTGACAGGCCGCTTTTTGTCCTGGTGAAAGGTTGAAAGGCAGGCAACAAATGGCCGACTTTATGAACTGCAACGCCTTCTGATCTCCACATCTTAATTTAAACGTGGGACTTTTGAGATCGGGAGTAGCACAATGTCTTCCAACGGACATCTAAATCCTAATGCGAGTTTGTTATTCTATAATTATTAGACCTTTGATTGTGTTTTAGAAATTATGTTCTGCTTAATGGAGCAGGAATTTTTTAATTAGTACTTAATCTCATCTATCTATCTCGAGCTTATTCCGTCAAATCTGGAGCTTCTTTGCCATTTATGATTTTATTATATGTTTTCTTTCGTTCAAAACAAATTGAGTTTTTTTTTTCTTTCTTTTTTTTAATTAATCGCCTCCATTTTAAATAATTTGCTATACATTGGTTTTGATATGCCTTCTAGTATTAATTAATTTATTTATTTTTTAAGGGTAATAACCTTGGCTGGCATGCAAATAATGTTGCATCAAGCTAGCTTTAATAGAAATGAGAGATAGTTAGCCAATTTCAAGCAATTTGGCCAAGTTTTAGTGAGTCACTATGTTAGAAGTTCTGAATGATCTTATAGGATCGGCCGATGGGCCTAGTATGTGAACAATGTAATATACTCGTCTCTGTTTGAGATGACCAGGTCTTGTTAGCGAGTTCTATTTGGCATTGGTGCCTTCTTAGATTGACTTGAAGTTGGTTGAAGTGATTTTAGATTTATGTGCATGCCCACCATGATAGATAAAATTTAAATTAAAATTTGAGCAAAAAATAAGTTCATTTATTATCTAAAAGGAAGAAGAATAATTATGTGTTGTATCAGATTAAGGAGTTGTATGGTAGCGACTTTAGCAGTTTTAGTAAATATGTAAATTTGGATTTAGTAAATCTTGCCAACAGTAGGATTGTAAATCTTGGATGTATGACAAAATTGAGAAGCAATTGAAAAAGAATTTGATTTACTAAATTCAATATTCAAAATTGTCATGCATGGTTTAACTTAAATCTTTATTTAATCCATTGCCACACAACTCGACCCTACGGGTTATCATGACGACGATGAATTCAATTAGCAAAAAAACAGAACCTCAAAGAAAATATAAAAATATACTCTTATGAGAATGAGGAATTAGATAGAAAAGATTTTTCTGTGATTGTGAGTGACAATATTGGACATTGGTGAATTCAAAAATTTTATTTGAACAAATAATAATTTGAAACCAATGAATTTCAAATGTGGAGGAAATATTATATGATTTTAACGTACAATTCATCAGTTATTTGAACAATAACCATTCTCATATGGTGCGCAGGGTTCTCAATTATTTTGGTCTTTATTGCTAATATAAGAAACTTGTACAAACTTTTGCTTATTATTAGTCTATTTGTGAGATTCTAATAGGAAGGAAAATTAATCATTCCAGCAATCTCCGTATGCATCATCATTATATTCATAGCTTCACTCAACATTGAAATTGTTGTTAAATTTCTATAAAAAAATTCTCTATTTTGAATTTACTTAACTTTCTTATTTAATGAAAAATCTAAGTATACAACACATTCAAATTTGCCAATTATAATTTCAGTCGATGTTTTCCTTTATTCAGAACAATTTGAGATTTTACTTTGCATTTGTTTCAACTTTCATCGGAGATTTTTGGTCTGGCACCCTGGTGCTACGCCCTTGGTGCCTAAGCGCCTATTTTTGTGGGGCTAGAGAAATGACTATTTTGGGTGTTTTTGGGTGCCTAGGCTCCCAGGATTGGTGCCTAGGTGCTCGTAAGCTAACCCTACTTTCCCAGAGATTTGTTTGGAGGCCCCAGAGGCGATTTTGGGCACCTAGGCGTCTGGGGTTGACGCCAAGGTGTCATTCTAGCCCAAAAACCATAATTTGCACGTAGATTGCCCAACGGAGGGTTTCTTCGATCTGTAAGCTACAAAGGATTTGTTATGACTGAAATATGGTTCATTAACTTCAAAAATGAGTTTTTTTATCAGCCTTTCATCGAGCAAGTTGTCGGTAATGATCGCCCTAGACCACGATGCAGGTAGGGTGTTCCAAACCATAACTTTTGCCCAGTTAATCGTAGGAAGGTCCTCATCAATCTGCAAGCTACGAAAAGTTGCATATTGCTAGAATATGACCTCAAAACTCATAAATAAACATTTTAGAGTTTTCAAACTGAGGTTTTTAGTGATGACTAGCGTCCCAAACACCGCGAGGGTGAAATCGATCTGAACCTCTAATTTTTCCAAAATGTAAGCGGGGGATCTTGATGACTACCCTTGGCCTTAGAATACTCTAGACTTATGGAGTTGGAGTCTCTCAACATGACAACGGATGTAAAACAAGTCCGCAAGTCAAGGTTAACATCGCCTCATGGTGAACTTTCCTTGGTAGAGTCAAGTCGGTACCAGTCTTGATTTCGTGTCTGAGGCACATACCAGGAGGACCATTGGATTATTGGGCAGCACGAAGTTGGACACAGTCCAATGTTTTTTAAAAAGACACCCCTTATACATGAAATAAAAAAAATGATGTCAAAAAAGGACTCACAACAATTGTGTTGCACCGTTGAGGCACAATGTGCTTGTTGGAAGCAACTCAATTTTTAATTAAATTTGGGTAAATTGTGCCATTAACTTCATCTGGTCAACTGAAAGGGAGATTTGATAAATTTTAGGAAGGGGGAAAGTTGTTCTTGTTAAAAAAAGGGGTCTCCCCACTAACCTCAATCCATTTGAGGAGTGAGAAATTTTATCTTATTTAGAGTGGTTTCGTTCCAATCTCAGATTGGACTTAGCCTATTTTCTACATTAAAAAGGAGAGTTTCTCACCCATTTAATGGTGCATCACATCCTAATTAGGAGGTATGCTTGTTAATTGTGTTTAGGGAAGGGGGCCTTAATCAATTCAGAAGGCTTATATTCAACCCCAAGATTTGTTGAGAAAATGATGTCTTACTCCCATTAAAGGGGCTTACTTTCAGACCTCCCATTTTTTTAGACTAGTATTGTTCCTTTTAGGTGCTTATTTCCAACTTAAAGAGATAAGTTGAGGAAGAGATGCCTTAATCCCGTTAAGAGGGGCTTACTTGCAAACCTCAATATTGGCATCAATTTTTGATGTCACATGTGTAGGGTGTCCACTTGATTGACTCATGATGATTCAGTGCTCACTCGTAGCATCTTGTATCTCAAGGCACCAATCTGAGATCTCTGATACATGTTTGGGGCACAAAGCCAAGGTTTGTGATGATTCGATCTCACTTGGAGAACCCATAGTTGGACGGGCTCACCCAGAGCATTGGACATAGTTTATGTCCATTATAGTGTTTAGGGGTCTCTATGTATCCATTCGGACCTTCTCCAGGGTCAAGGGAAGGCATGGAGTCCTCCTACGCTTGTACTGGAAAATTAGGGTTTAGTACGTCTTACTCGAACCGCAGTTCAAAATGTCTGTTATCAACAGGTTCTTTGATCAATGAATGAGCGAAATAATGATTTTTGAAGTTATAGGATAAAAATTTACTCATATGTGATTTCCCATTGCTTTTGGATCGATAAAATCCATCATCAGACATTTCCGGTGAAAACGACATTTTCGGGGCTATACCCACACCTTGGCGCTAGCCCCAGGTTTCTAGGAGCCCAAAATATCCTCTAAGGGGCTTAAAATCTGAGGGGACAAATATTTGGCACCAATCTCGTGCCTAGACGCCAAACTGGCGCCTAGGCATCGAAACAGCTCAAAAACAACCACTTTCTCGAGCCCCTGAAAAGTAGGTGTGGGACCTAGCGCCTAGGAACCATAAAGTAGGCACCCAAAACAACCTCTTTTCTTACTCACCTCCTTCATTTTCCCCTACTATTCTTTGAGTGTGAGAGGAGGGCTTCTTGATGAGGAGTGTGACTAGCGATGATCAAGGCTTCTTCTCTTCTGCACTAAAGGAGAGCTTCATCCTAGCTTGGGGAAGGATCATTGAAGCATCTTTGGAACTTTGCCATAGTTTGGAACTTTGTCGGAATCTATCCATATTCTCATTATAAAGGAGAGCTTCCTTGTTAATTTTGGGAAGGACTTATGTGGACTTCTCTCCTACGGTTAGGAGAGCTTCATCCAGGGCATAGGCTTGGGACGTCGATCAACCATCGCGACGGTGAGATTCACTAAAATCGTTTGCATTCTCTTTCTTAGTCAACCCTAGGATGTTTGTAGAGAATGCTAAGTTTATGTTGTTGATTTCCTAGAGGAAACACTAAGTTTAGAAGCTCATTCATGGCTACATCCTTTGTGAAATCTGAGTGACTTCTCATTATAAACTTTAGATCTAAATCCTAGTAGATTGGAATCTCAGTTTTCCATGGTTTTGACACTTCCAACCTTCCTTAGAGAGGTTAGAATAGTTGAATCTTAATGAATGACCACTCGACATCGTATGAATCAATTAATTGTCTGTCACCTGATGATTTAATTGGTCGAACGATATCAGTCAGCTCAGCCATACGCTTCTTGATTCATCAGCTATGTGTATGCCTATTATCTAGTGTTGGTGTGGGTTTTTTTGGACACGCTAGGCAAATTGGTCGGTTGATACTAGTCTACCTGGCCATATGCCTATTGATTGACCAATTACGTGTGATTTATATTTTTCATATTGCATTTTGCCTTGATCGGTCTCCATGGTTTAGTTGACATTACACTTTGATCCAACCAGATAACCAGACCCATTTGACTAATCACTTTGGTCTGACTGGTCATCTTGGCACGGTCGGTCGACCTAACTTTTGTCCAACCGGTTGCTCTGGCCCATTATACCGATCTCTTTGGTACGACCGACTACCCCTACCTAGTCGATCGATGATACACCTAAAATAGATAGTATTTTTATACACATTTTTATACATATTTTGAGATATTCCGCTTTAATGAAAAGTCTTTGTGTGTTTTTCTTTCATGTATAATCAAATGGATAAAAAATGCTGAAAGAAGTGAAAAAAGGGTCAAATTTTGAGTAAAAATGAAGAAATGTGCAAAAATGAATTGTGGCGCCTAAGCGCCAGATACCCCACGCTTAAGCGCCAGAAATAGTTATTTGATGATTTATTGAATTTATACGAATTTTTTAAGAGGTATTTGAAGCAACCCTTGGTAAAAAAGTGAGAAATATCCCATGGACACGAAAATTCATTCAATTGGCTTTTGAGGAGACAACTTTTATAAGATTCATTGAATGGAGACACAGTTTGAAGAGACACCAAGCACTTTTT